ATTATCTCCCCTCTACCTCCCTCAAATGAAAAAAATCTTCAGTCTGTCTGATTTTTCAGTTCAGCATAATGTCTCTATTCCATGTGTTAACAGCTTGTTCAGATTTCTCACTGCATGCGCTTCTCTTTATCATTGATTAACTTTGTGTATCATCTTCGCCCGGGCAATGTGTATTTTAGCCCCAACACTCCATAACTTAATAAAAAAATCACTGTAGCATATGATGACATTTACACTGCTGCTCACAAATCCGCCTGGAGGTGGATCTGTGTTATTAAAAAAACATTCTCTCCCAAACACACCACTCAACGAGCTACAGTGACAACGTTAGTTTTTTCTGTAAAGAAGTCCAATCAGCTTCTACACAGAAAAAATATCTACAAGCAAACCAGTCACCCTATTTCTTACGTCAATAAATTAATACATATATAAACAATTCATAAGTCAATTATTTGTTTAATCAATTACATTGTTATTTAATCAATCCATACTATGACCTACATGTTACACTAGTTAGAAATCTTCTGATGTTATCAATCTGTAATCATAGTGTCTTTAAAGTCACTCACCTTTCAGCTGGCTAGCTGGAGCACCTACAGTATATCTACTGCTCCAACTTCAAGTACTGCAGACCTGCTGGAATGAAATGCTTATTTGCATGTACTGTATGCTCCGATACAAAGATATTAAAGGAATCACCAAAAACCTAAACACCGAACAGCAGCAGCAACAACAGGTTAAATGACATAAACCTAAAAAAGTCAAACGAGTAGTGTGAGAAAAAAAAACATGAGTGTGAGTCAGTGGTAGGGGAAGAGTTCAGTAATCTAACAGCTTGTGGGAAGAAACTGTCTGTAAATCTGCAAGTTCGTGCTTTTACGCTCCTATACTGTTCACCAGAAGAAAAGGGGAAGAAAAGTGAGTAACCAGAGATTGGTATCTTTAGCAATACTTCCAGCCTTCCTGAGAAAGCGAGTTGTAAAAATGTCCACAATAGAGGGGAGCTTTATTCCAATAATATACTAGGCACATCTGATCACCCCCTGTAATGCCTTCTGATCAGACAACGAGCAGCTGCCAAACCAAACTGTAACACCACATGCGAGCACACTCTCAATAGCGCACCTGCAAAATGTAGCAAGGATAGTTGAAGATAGACCACATTTTTTCAACCGTCCTTGGACTGTCTTCAGTGGAGATGTCATACCAGGGCACAGACTACTACACTCCCACAACCCTCAGCTGGCAGCCAGAGTGGCTTAATGTCAGCTCCTGACTCACTTCCTCTTCCCCTTCCACCTGGCTGTTGCAATGTTGCTGCAAGTCCTCTTACCTCAGACACTGCCTCCCTCAACAGGTCTCCAGGTGTCAGTCCAGAATTTAGCCACGAGCCTTACATAAGTTACACATACAGTGGGTGTCTCTCAGTGAGCTGACATTTTAGTCACCCAAAGAGGATAAATCAGCCACTTGATGGGGCACCTGGGCCTGGCAAAGTCACATGCAATCTGGCATTAAGGCCTTAGAAAGGTTTAATGGTTTTAGCATTTAGTTAGCATATGTGAAGGCCTGCTTGGTCCCCTCTTGAGGGTTCATATGGATAGGGTTTTGTCCCTCAAAACAAATAAAGTCAACACTAAATATTCTGCTGGTCTAGATGGTCAGCAGTAATATGACTGTGTTTACTGTGCAGCTAAGGACATTATATTGCATATGCATTTCTAACAGAATTTTTCTATCTTTTGTGTTAAAGCTAAATCCATAATTTCTCTACTTTATATCCTTGGGTTTGTATTTACTCTTCATAAGAGTGTATGGGGCTCACCTAATGCCACCTGCCTTGTCTCTTGGTGAGGGGGCCAACCCTGAAACATCATTATCAATGTAACACTAAACACTCTGCTGCGTTTGCATTGGACTTTAAACAGTTACTACTGAACAGACAAATCATTTACAATAGTTTTACTTTTTGTAAGACAGACTGATTGATCACTGTTTGAAGGAAGCAAATTAGGCATTCTATACATTAAACAAATTGTAAGACTACTAAAATACCAGAATGGTATTGATAAAATCAGCTCAAAAGACTAGCATTTCAAAACCAACAAGGTTTGTGAAACAAGGACTTGAAGACAGAAATAGAAATGAGGAAAAAGTAGATCCATCCATTTTCTAACTGCTTTATCCAATACAGGATCGTGGGAGCTGAAACTTATCCTGGCAAGCAACGGGCACAAGGCAGGATATACCCTAGACTGGGTACCAGTCTAATGCAGGGCACACACAGACAAAAAAAAAAAACACTCACACCAGGGCCGATTTTTCCAAAGGACAGTTAAGCTACCAGTATGTCTTTGGACTGTGGGAAGAAACCGGAGGACCCAGAGAAAACGCATGTAAATCTGATGCCATCCCTGGAAAAGTGCATTTAGGACTGAAAACAGGAGACATTTACAGAAAGGGTAGTGGGTGTCTGGAACAAAATACCCACCCATATTATTGAAGCAGATTCTCTGGGATCTTCAAGAAATTACTCGATGACATCCTCACATCCACAAGCTACTATCAATTGATCAATTGAGCTGCATGACTTATTTTAATCATTTACCTTTAACTTTATACATTAAAATATTCAAATACAGTAACACAAAATTAGCCTTGACTTGTGAGGTAGCTAAAGATGATAAGAAACAGGGATATTAAGTTCATCTGAATTTTATTTTACAATGCAATTTTTACTCCCAAATGTTGGGTTGCTGATGAGAACCCTTATATGTAAATGTAAATCTGTAAATGGAACGGTACACCACATTGTATTCTAACACTTTAAATTTCAGTTGAAAGTTAAAATGTTAATTCAAAATTATTCTCCACAGTGCAGTCCAAATTGCATCAAATCTTTACTATATTTGGATAACACTATCATTTAGATTTGATACTGGCATTATATGTGTTGTGCTTTTTTATAAATAACTAATTGTAAACTTTTTATCATTTTGAATAGAAACAAAAGCAGCTGAAGCTGAACATTGACAGATCCGATCCACTTAAGACATTTGTATTATAATCCACAGACGCTTGCGTAAGGAAGATTGCCTTCACTGGCTTTTAGCACAAATGCAGCCATCATAAACTGCAAATTGGCTTAATGTACAAGAAAGTGAGCCATGATTTTCTGAAATTTTAAACCTCTGCAAAAAGGTTTGAAATTGACATAAACACCAGGGTTGCTCCTATGAAACACAAACCTTTTTGTTTGTTATACATGTAAATACAAGAAGAAACTAACTGAGACAAACAAAACATCATATTACAAAATTATAAATAACGTCATATTACAAAACAGAAAAACACAAATGTACCTTTAATTCTTTTTGTCACAATAAATTGTTACGATGTACTGTATTTGTCAATTCCATTTGAATTGTTTTCTAAACACTTGATTTTCAGTTTTAAACTCTTTTGTAGAATTAACAACTTAGATAACTAAAAACATGTTGATGTACTGCACACACATATAGCATTTTAGATGCAAATAACCCTTGTACAGTGTTCATTATAGCAGCAAAAAAGATGTTGTCCTAAAAACATGTTTTTAAGCATCACCACAGTTATGCTTGAAATATTTATGTTTTTTGACATTTTGCTACTTAAGGTATCTGCTTGGGAAAAATTAATGTTCTGATAATTTCCTAGAATCAGGATCACCTACAACATAATATCTTTAAAGGCTGATTTTGAGCATTCACATACAGTACTTTGTTTTATTACGCTTGAATTGGGATTCAGTAAACTGTATGTACATGTGACAGTAATATTCTGGATTTAAAAAAAAAGTTATTTGACTGTTGTTTTGCAACAGTCAGTTACATTATCTTAGAACAAAATCACATAGGACATTTATCTTCATTTATCTGAACAGACCAGCTGGACATTATTGATCAGCGGACCATCTAGCTGGGATACTAAAAATAAAGTGACAATATTATATAATTCTTTGTTTGCAAATGAACATATAATTCACTTTATTAGAATAACAACATCAACAATTTTACATGTTTTTCTACAGGACAAGTGGGTTAAGGCCCATTTCTGGCCTTAAACATTTGGTACAACACTGTATGATTTGCATTGTTGTAATTTACAGTAAGTATTCAAATCATTTTAAGAAACCTGACAGTCAGAACCTTGATAACACATCTTTGCAAGATGTGTTGTTCATATCAGGATATGTCCTTTTTCCATTACATTACAGCAGAAACATTTCTTTGTAGCATCAGAAATAAGAAAATGAAGTTCCATATTTGATATCTGTAATTTCACATTAAAACATTATATTGGAAAAGTGCTGTATGAATAAAATATTATGCGAAGGCTACCAAAGTGTGTTATCCACAAATAGATACAGGTGTATTATAGTTTATTCTCACCTGAAGTCAAAATCTTTTGTTAAGATTACAGTACGTGGATGTAAAGGAATGTACTGTATGAACTGTTTCTGGGTTCACACTGCAACCAGGTTACAAACCTAACCTTAAGTCTGTATCCTGCGTTAATGAAACAATTAAAATAATCTATAAAGTCTATAAAGATCATTTCAAAGTGCCCTGTTTTTTAAGGATTGTAACAGTATGGATGAAATGGTCAAATCCTGAGGGAAAAAAAGAACAAGATAAAAATAAGAATAAAAGGAAATATAATAATATATAAGAAATAAAACTAAATCTTATAAACTTAAATGGCAGTTTAGGCAACATAACTCTTTGTTACCTATTTTCAATGTACAATGTACCAAATGTTGTTTTTCAAAGAAAGAAACCTTCCTAATGCAATCACTACAATCCTTGTTGTAACTCTTTAACATCAGTTAATGTTTTTGCAACTGTACGTTGATAATAAAAAATTAAGCATAGCAAAAAGTTTAGTCTCAGCATCTTAAAGTGGGTTGTGAATTAGGAGTTATCAAAACAAGGCCATCTGCCTGATGGAAAAAAGCTTACCACTGCTTAAAGGACTTTTCTCCTCGCCACTCACAATAGATTCATTTGCTTTTTTGTCCTCTGTTCTCGAAGTCTTGGATGCCATCTGATCAAAGAGAAATCCCGAAAAGCATTAATGAATAAAATATCAAATCATTGATCATAACTCACGTAACACCTCTGAAATGCTCTTTAAAGGGTAATTACTGCAGTACGTGCTTTAGATGTTGCCTAAATAATGACAGACACTTTTAACTTCTTACACAGGCTCAAAACTATCGACTATATATTACCATTTATAGTTCTGCAGATGGCCACAGTACATCATCTTGTTATGACAAAACATTTCCATCTGCCAAAGGGGTATTAAAAACGAAAAGGCAGCGTATTTTGTACTGCTAACAATACATTAATCAGGTCGGCTTATAAGAAAATAAATTAGCACTCTACCTGAATAAACTTTTCCAAAAGAATACCGATAAGGCACACCGGTACATCTGATCTTTCCTTTCGAAAGTATGTTAAGCTTGGTCCATCAGTGCTGAGCACACCCTTCAACAGGCTGCTCAGTCCCTCCCACTCCGAGACGTGACGTCGCCTGAAACGTTCGAACCGTCTTACAGACTTATATCAAAGTTTTAAAAACAAAATACATTTGCAAGAAAGTAAGTGCATTTCCCTTTTCACCCATTCGTTGTTTTTGCCAGACACTTTTAGTGTGGAAGAAAAAGCTGTAGAGTTTACTTTTCAGAACCGAGCATGTTTTCATGACATGCCCAGCTGTGTGGAAGTTTTTGCGTAGTTCTAGGAAAGTGCAGCTCACCTGCTCCTAGGTTAATTTGACCATTTTAATTTTTTTACGTTTTAATTCCTTTTTTCAGAAGACTTGCTTTGCAAATTGTTCTATCGGTTGTCAAATACATGTTATAAATACTTAGGTTTCGTCTGTTTTGTTTTAAATACGCAGGCATTAGTGCACTAGTGTTTTAGATTTTAAGGGGAATATGTTTAATGTAATTTGAGGGAAGCATTTTACTAATTCTTGGATTCTTAATACACGTGGTTAGTTCATATTTTATTGGTCTTGTAATTGGTCTATATTATCATGTAATATCTGATTTTACTGTCCTTCATAGCCCACTCCTTGTTTACGCAGGGGTACATTTTAATTGCACAGTCCCGTTTCCATTCGGAGTCTTAGTAACTTGATGATCTCCAGGAGCACAGGAATGGGGGTTCAAATTCAGTATACTGATATTTGTTTTACCTGTTACACCTTTGATTAATGGTTATGGCTTGGGACGGTATGGTTTTTTACCACTACTTAGAAATGGTACAGTATAAAGAAGATGTTGGTCCCATCCAGCTCATTTGGTCACTAGCAACTTATTGATCCAAGGATCTAATTTAGCTGTTTCTCGAAGGAAACTTGGCTATTAACTCTAATAACATGGCTGGATAGCTCGTTCCCTGCCCCGCTACCCTTAATGTAAAAAAAAGGGCCTCCTGTCTTGCTTATAAGTGGGTTTTCATGTAGTTGCCATTTGTGTTCTCTGGTTTGTTTGTTGATTCTGAAGAAGTCCACTGTATTGCCTTTTTTATGGCCTTTGGGGATTTTGCATATATGGATCAAGTCTCCTCATTGTCTTCTCTGTGAAGACGAAAAGGGATTCTGTTCTTCCAGCCAGTCATTGTATGACATTTATTTTGAGAACAAAATGGAGTTGGTGGACTGATTCTAGAGCATCACTATCTTTTTAAAAATATAATGACTAAAATTCTATTCAGACTTCTGAACCAAATTTTCAGCAGTGTTCTTGTATTTTTTCCCATAAAACCCATTATACAACACTGTATTGGTAACATTGTTAAAGGGAGTTTTAAGAGTGTTTTTGTAAGCTCGTTGATTGATTGTTTTTCTCGAGGGTGGAAGTTTTGATCGGATGTTAATGTCCACAAATTATTCAATGTCATTTTTAATGTTGTGGGTGGCTTGCCAACAGCAGGGATCCTACAGTGTCTCTTTGAATCCATGAATGAAGACTCTTCAGCTTAGAAGCTGGCTTTAAAGGACAAGTGCTGCCAATCATGAACAGATGGTTTCTTTTTTGGATATTGTACAATGTTTGGGAGATATCATTTGCCGCTATCCATCAATGATTGGCTTCTAATGAAACAAAAAATATGAAACACTTTTTATGATGGAATGTTAGCTGATGTGGATGTTTTATTTTACTTAAATCTTCCATTTGATTGATATTAAGTTGTGTGCACATTTTTTCTTAGTTTACTAGGCTGCCAATTTACATTCATTAGACTGCACATTAGTGTTGCATTTTAAAAGTAACCCTGCTGTGTTTGCATATGCTTAGAGTAAAAGAGGCATGTTAATTGAAAAATTAAGATGTGAATGTATTTGTCTATTAGTGTACAGCCAGCTGCCTTATTCAAAGGAAAATGTTTTGTAAATGTAAGTCATACAGCATGCTGTGGAATTTATTGCTTTATTTCTGAAAGTGCTCACAAAAACAGTTGTTTTAATTGGAGGTTTGGCTTAAAGAAGCATCAGGCATTTTGAATAATAATAATTTATGGATATACAGTACTGTATTGTAGAACACTTGCTTTTTTAATGCAGAAAAACAAGTCGTACTTAGAAATATGTATTGTCACAATAAAGCCCATTTTTTTGCAGGAGGTGACTGGAAATATACAATCCCAAAATAAATCAATACTAAGCTGATGCTCTTTTGAATACTTAAGTTAAGGAAGCATCTTTAATGTAAAGCAGTTTAATGCTGCCAGTTGTTAAAAATAGAATAGCCGTTGTGTAATATAGTTCAAAGATTGCTAGTTCAAGACTGAACTTGCTGTTAACTGATGGTTAGTGGGATTTCCCAAACAACAGCACAATTAGACAACTGTTTACTGAGTATGCTTGAGAGGACCATACATCTTGTATTACTTTTGGCTTACCTGGTAATTAAGTGAGTTGTCTTATTAGTAAGAGCCGTATCACTCCTGTCTTTGATATGAACACTGATGGAGGTACTGTGAGGCTGACAGGATGAGAAGAGGTGGACAATACTCCATCTAGACATGCATATCCATCCCCTTCCATTCTCACATTAGGAGTCCTAGTAGTGAGGTGAGCAAGTGTTGATTTTAAATTTGGGGTAACAATAGAAAAGTAGGTTTGCCATTGAAATATAAGTATACCATGGAAAGACAATGCCTTTTTTTGTGAATAGCTTGTTTTATGTATAGAAGTATTTCTCAGGTGTGGAATGCATTTCTAAGGGGGTGATAGATACTGTACCATAGGTTGAAAATAGTAATGTGTGTTCTTTTATTGACCTTTCTTTGGACTGTAGTTCATAAATCAGCTCATTCACAAAAACCTAAACATTAAATTAGAATGTCTTTACTTAAAGTATTATGTCAGTTGGTGAGCACCTGATTTTGTTTTTAATTAAGTCGAAGTTTGATTTACATCTAAACATTTCCTCTCTCATCTGATTTGTCAGGGGAAGAATTGTTTCATTTCAATATTGCATGCTTCTGTGATGGGTTTTCTGTATGTGCAAAAAACAGATGATTAAGTCTAAGTATGTAGACCATGTTTAGTCTGACCAACTGAATTTAGCCAATTAGCTGTGGGTTTTTTTTAAAGCCCGCGGAGAATGTGTTCTTTGAGTTTGCTCTGGTGAGTTGGAACAGATTTTCAGTGACCTTGATAGAAAGACAAAGACTGAAAATGAGGTTATGTAGTACTGCATGAGGTTCTAAATTGCAATTGTTTCTTTGTCATCTTTGTGGTTCTTCTTTAGGGTCAAGAATGTTATGCATAAATTAGCAAACAAGTACATGATGCTAGTTTGTGCTTATGGATTTCCATGGCAGGTACTAGCTTAATGTATCTAACCTGCACTTGTATAAATAAACATAAATCCTGTCATCACTAGTTTATGTTAAAGTAGGCTATGGAGTGGGTGATCTTGTAGGGTTCATCTCTATGAGTAAATTGACCCTTTGTTCTATACAGTCTTAAATTCACTCATGTATTGATGTATTACAATATGTAAGTTATAAATAAAAAAATGCTTAACTTTATAGAATATTTAGTTATTAATAAAACATTTTTCAAAGATTGTGATGAAGTGTGATGAATCAGGACATTGTCAAGTTAAACATTTTAAAATACTATATACTGTATATGCAGTATAATTTCTCTCTTATGCTATAGACGTTCTTTAAAAAATACTTCCTGGAAGCTGATCATATGTTGAAATTATATTGATATTTGTTACCTCTGATTATATTTCTTATTGCATATAAAACAGTTACTGTGGTACTTGTGAAAGATCTATTTCATAATAAGGTCCTTCAAAGAAGTGCAGAAAAGTATTCCTGCTCAGGCATCAAACTTTTCAGAAACAGTGACTTTATGCTTGGAATTATCTTAAAGTCTTGCCATTCATTTGTGCTAATTAATATATAATGCTCTACAGAGGTACACCCCTTGTAAGAAACACTGTTTGAAAAGTATGAAATAAAATAGGACTAGGTATGACATGGTTTTGTTCACTGTCATTACTCTATTTATAGTCTGATTTTGTGTTTTGGACCTTGTTAGGCTTGTTAGGCATTATTTGGTGGGAGAACTATTCTTGTCATTTTCATTAAGCAATCAGTACTGTCATTTCAACCTAACTGAGCACTTGTCAGGGCTTGTCTTTCAGACATCTGTGTTTGCAGATACCTGCTCCTCTCAGGTAGTAGTGGGACATTACTACCAGTCCAATTGTGACTGGAAGAAAATATAAAGAAGAAAAAGCTTCATGGTGGAGCTGGAAACAGAAATCCCAAATTTTCAAATTAAGAATGTAGAAAAATGACCCTATAGAAGAACTGTCAAGAAAATATGAAAGAAAGAAATTAGATTCTTCCAGACCTGATGGCATGTGACTTAAGTCAATTGGTGTTTCCTTATATAGCTGAAATCCGGTGGTATCCTGAGGCACTGGCTCCCCCAGGGATCCTCAGTGGTAGTCCAGGGGGCTGAGAAAATCCTGGAAGTTACTCATCCCACTAAAAAACTAAATAGATTTTTTTGTCTTTATTACCCAAAAGATGTGCAATTGCTGTAATTATTGAACTTAGAGACCTGGTTTAAAGTCCTATCTTCTGCTATCTTGGCTGTGGACACTATTTAAATTAGTGTTCACCTGAACACACAGAAAATGCATTTTCATTTCCTTACAAGTGTGAGCCAGGGACCACCTTAAGTTTCTTTTTATGTTGCAATTTTGGCTGTTTAGGGAGGCCAGACCATTGTGGTTGGGAATGGGGTCTCCCGGAGTTAACATCATTAAGAATCTTTGACCAACAAATAGGAATTGCTCTTTAAAGTATTTTCAGATCAGGCTGATCAGTATATGTCTCTGTAGTACAGAAAGAAAGCTCCCTGTTATTCTTTTCCCAAGCCATTGGAAAAACCTGAGTTACATGTTTGCTGTTCTTGCAATTCTCTTAGATGACCTAAAATGACACGGTTATACTGTAATAGTGTGAGGTGATAAAACAGCAAAAGTCTTATTTTTAAATTTAAAAACAATCCTAATATTGTAGTATGTATTATAATCTAATACCACAGACT